GCAATATTAGGACAATATTTTAATAAAACATCAAAACACAATCATATTAGTATTGCAAACACTGAACTATTGAGATTAAATATTATTAAACTATGGTGCAGTACTGAGTAGATACAGCAGGGGGGCAGTATTGGACCAATACAAGGCTCCATTGACTTCCATTATAAATAATTAAACATTAATATTTAAAAAGTTATAAGTTGTACAGGCACCAAAAGGCATAGCCATCATTTGGCACAGGAGCTTTACAAATATAAATTACAATGGCAGCTCTAGGACAAAGTATGCAGGAGGAGAAGCGTGCCAAAGTGGAGATGACTTGGATGAGAAACGAATCACAATAGTGTGCATTGCATTGGCAATGCACACTGATGAAATGAAAGGCGGCAGAGAGAAGAAAAAAAATCTTATATCTGCCCCTTTTTCCTCAAGTATAAATTTAAACAATAATATTATTCACCTTTAGGGTGGCACTTCTGTTTGATGAGGGTGGTAGTGTTCTGCCAGGGGATGTCCCACACTTCAAACACACACACCTCAGTCTGCAACACAAAAATACACTGATCTGAGGAAAAATCTCAAAATAATCCTATAGAGGAAGTTGTAGGGGTCACCTCGAGTGAAGAAACAGGAGTTACTAACTCCTGTTTCTTCACTTGAGGTGACCCTTACAAAGTCATGTGTCTATAAAAAGCTGGATAATGCTGTTGTGCTTTAATTTATTTCAAATTATCTAAGATAACTGATAATCATAACGGGGAAAAGGTGCTTGTAAGTTGTCATGAGATTTGAGCATGTTTGGATTCACTTCAAGTTGAATTCATGCCAGAAGACCACATGACTTGTCACATTTCTGCTGAACAGACACACTGCAGCAGTAAGAAACGAGTGAACAACACATTTGATTTGCAGAAGTACACAAACAAGCTATTTGTCTCCCTGATGTGTAACCTATGAACAACTCCCCTACCTTGAGTTTATGAGGCTCGGGATAAAAGTCACATGTCCTGAGCAGGGTGGATTTCTTGCACTGGGTGTTGCTCAGTTCCACTGTTAAAGTGTAACGAATTCCCTTAACAAGCTGAAAAAAGATAAATATACACAATTAACAAAAGCAAAACAAAACATTGATAAAAAAAGGCATATGTCTTAACATACACTGATGGTAACATAACGTGCGTGTACACATTCTGGATGCAACTTCAGCGATTTACAGCACAACAGGATGCTCTGTTAATTATTATTTGGCATAGTCAAGTTATAGTCACAACATTCATGATCTGACTTCAGGTGTTGTACAAAATTCTGTTCCCCTGTGAAAATCTGTTCCCCCTACTGAGAATCACTGGTCCAGGTCGTCAGACCAATGAGGGAGACGCTCCCAGCACAGAGGGAACAGATTTTCACAGGGAACTGAATTTCGTACAACACCCGTTATCTAGCAGTTTACGCAAAACCAGTGGCGTCACTAGGCCTATTTTAGGGGGGCTGAAATATTTTAAAACCCCCCTAAATTATTTTGGTGTAATTTTTTTTT